TAGCTCTGACCTGATATCTTCAGTGGGTTTGCGCTCTCAGCTCACCCTGATCCTTATTCCTCTATGCTGTCTCAGGGCTTACCCAACTTGTCACTCTGCTATCTCGTCATTTTTGTGGCCTCGTGGAAATCAGGCTGTGAGCGCAAGACAAAAGACTCAAGATCCACCAAGTGCGATGCTTCGCATCTGACGCGTGGAAGCCACCAGGATCAAAAACCAGGGTCGATCAAATGGCTATCACCAGGCCTCGAGTTTACGATGTGTCTTCGTTTCCAGGCGCTAGTTATATGAAATCGCCTGCTTGGCAGAGGAACGACACGAAACGAAACGAACATGGTAGTAAAACTGTTTCTTACAAACATGACGTACAGTACTTGCATGCTTTGGCTGGTTGTCGACTAAGTTAAAGTACACAAGAAAAAAAAAAAAGGCCTCTCATGGGCATATGGATGGATGTACGTAAAGAAAAGTCGGAGTGGTTGAGTGAATAATAATAATGCCTGAGGGATGATGGCCCGATGGACCGAAAGGGGGAGGATGCATGCTCATCATTATCCTGTCAAGACAAACGTCATGCAAGGAGGTATACTCTGTACTCGATGTATGACTTTGTCAACACGTCCACATATCCAACGGATATAAGACTAAGTATCCTGATCTTAGAACAAGCAGGAGTCGGTAGCTGAAGCAGCAAGCTGTGGGAATAAATTGTGATCTATAATGGAAGAAAGCTGGGAGGGTTAAAAGCTCTCCTGCCTCTCCGCATGCCCGAACAGCTAGCTTCGTGCTCGGTAAGGCTTGAGGTTAGCTACCTGCTTGTCCAGGGAAGGTCTAAGCATATCAACCCCATCACGCCAGCCGCCATGATCTGATCCCATCCACTCCTAAGTAACTGGGCTTATATTTTATTTCCGTTCAGGGGTATTGCGGTTGAGGCCGGGTAAAAGGAGTGGGTTCACCTCGCCAGCCAAACCAGTTCGTTAACTCGCCCATTTGTTCCTTACCGTGTTCTAGAAAGGAAGCCTAAAGGTAAAGGGGAAAAAAAAAGAGGTAAAATAAAACTTCCACCCTTTTCCGCTGCTGGACTGGCATGTAACTGGCTGGGCGAGTGAGCCTTGGGGATGTCCAGAGTATAAAAGTAAGTAAGAGTGAAGGTCGGTCACCTAGGCAGCGGGAAGACCTTCGTTGAAACTAAAATGTCGGTCCCATCCCGTCCACCCATAACGGAGGTGTGTATTATTTGAACTGTTTTGTCAGTGTTAGTTACCGCGTACCGTATAACTTCTGCGAGATGGAGATGGAGATGGAGATGGAGATGGAGATGGAGATGGAGATGGAGATGGAGATGGAGATGGAGATGGAGATGGGGATGGGGATGGAGATATGGGGGAGCCAGCCTGGGGTGGTTATTGGATGGCTGCATCGCTGGTTACCTGGCTATGTCGTCAGGGACTCGTTATGCCCTTGCTTTCTCTGCTGTTGTTGAGCCCAAGCTGCAGCAGCTGCAGCGCTCCACGTCTCCGCAAACAGACATCCCTTCTGGCGGTGGATGGAGTCGCGAGGAGAGTGGTTGAACCAGTCACCGTTATGACCTTTAAGCAGCTGCAATGGCTATCCACACTGGAGTAGAGATGGAGATAAAATACCCAGACGGACTCCGCTGTTATTGTATGTACTTACACAGTAGTTAAGTATGTAGCCTCACTTTGACATCATACTGCAACATCCACCACAACATCCACCCACAGCTTTGAGTCATGCAGCAGAGAAGAAGGAGAAGAAGAAGAAGACGACGACGAATCCTCCCGTCTGCGCACTGATCGCGAGAAACCCCCTCGGTCGAGTGAGCTGACCAAGTTACTTTCATCAGGCCAGCGCGGAAAAGACAGCCCAAAAGGAGCATCCAGGCCCGTGGTTTGCTTCGTAAAACGGAGAACAAGGCCTGGGGAAGCAAGACGAACAGCCCAACAAGGCCGTTGAGCAGGTGCCGGCTAGCTTGTTCCATCTCCTGCCCCCCCTTCATCCCTCCGTATAATTTAATAAAAACCATCCACAAGGATATGGAGTAAATATAATACTAATAATCATTTCGGTAAGCGTAATACGGCGTATAAACGGGGGGCCATGAGCTTGAACGTGCCTGAGAGTCAGTCTCCGCAAAAGACGAAGGACACCCACCCCCCTGCCCCCTGGTCACAGTAAAATGGATGACCTGCTTGAACCAGCCTGTCAGGTTAGTGATAGGATGCTGGCTATCGACCGGGATAGGCTGGCCTGCGGTGTTATTAATGCGAGTTTAGTCCGAGAGAGAGAGAAACGGCGCTGGCGAGGAGACGCGGTGGTGCATCATTGGGCGAGATGAAGGCAGGGAAGAGAGAGAGACAGAGACAGAGAAGCCCATCTCCATCCCTGGTACGGCTGTCTCTGGCTGTCCAAAATCCTCCGGCCTGCCGTCTTTTCTTTTTCGCCCGCTCGACTCGTTACTGCTGCTGCTGCTATCCTCTTCCTCTTCATCGCCTCGTCGACACAAGCCTTTTCGCCCAAGCCTCTTGCGCAGTGCTTGTAGCCGTCCAAGCAGCGCCTAAGCAGCGCAACCGCCTTGGCGACGGCTGAAGAGCCAACATCAACATCATCACCAACATCATCACCAACGTCAACATCAGCATCAACATCAGCATCAACATCAGCATCAACATCAGCATCAACATCAGCATCAACATCAGCATCAACATCAGCATCAACATCAGCATCAACATCAGCATCAACGTCGAATCAGAGTATATCGACAGGCAGAGCAAGTGATCGTCTGCTTGTCCGCCGCCCGCCGCCCTCCTCTTGCTGCCTGCCCCATGGGGAACGGTGTCCGTCTCCCGCCAAAGGGCGCATCTCACTCGCCCGCACAGCTGGATTAACTTACTGCACCATGACTTACTTTACTTTTGCCGGACTGATTATTATCATTACGATGTATTCGCTCGTTCGTTACGGGTTAGTCAGCGCGAAAAACTCTTCCTGGGGTGACATCGCTGGGGATGTATTTTTCGTCGCTGGTCTTGCTGTCTCGCGGATAAATCGGCTGTTGTTGCAGTGAAGCCGTGGCGATGGCGAGGCGAGCGGCGGGAGGGCCGACTGGACGACGCCATGCGCCATGATGCCCGGCTACTCCTGTGCTCTCGAGAGATACTCGATGAAGACCAAAGACCAAAGACGAGAGTCTACCTCGGCAAGCTGCGTTACATGGTTAGATTACTGGCATGCAACTTACTTTCCCACGGCCTGGCTCCACCGAGAGAGACGAAGAAAATACGAAACTTCCAGGAAGAAAAGAGAAGACGGAGAGAAGCTGGAGAGAAGAAGCCAGAAGACGAGCAAAAAGGAAGACCCCAGCAATCCAGTGCATAAGCACTCACATCCAGACTATACGACACTGCCTGTCCATGTGTGTGTGCGAGTGTGCGTGTGGCATGCCATGCATGCGCCTTCTCCAGACCCTCCATCGCTGATCCTTTCTCTGCCTGCGCGGATGCGACCTTCGTCATGTTGCATCCCTCGTTCTCTCACAGACTCGGCTCTACCTCGTGTCTGTGGCCTTTGCTCCTGCTACTCTCCAGAGTACGCCTGCCACCATTATTATGTATTCTTCCGCTGCTCGCATCTCTGGTTGGCGGTTCGGAGCCAGCTGTTGTTATCTGTGGTTCTGTGGCCTGCTCTTCCTTACCAGAAGCCGAGTTCCCTTCTCCCACCCCCCTGGCCATACGTCTGTAATATTAATATGCTTGTTCCTGTACGGATCCACCGCTTGCTTTTTATCTTACCTTATAGAAATCTCTCTTGACAGGGGTTTCCTTTTTTTTTTTTTTTGCTTCCTGACGTGGTGGATCCCCCGGGAATTTTCTGATGGCCGGACGAAGAGGCCGTAGATAGCAGAAGCTAGGACGAACAGCAGGCAGGATGGGGGTGGCAGCGACGAGGGGAGCGGGCAAAGGCGACTTTTTCATGTTATATATCAAGCCTGTCCCTCGTCTCGCCGGGCTCCTCTCCCGCTCTTCTTCCTCCCCTTCTTCCCTTTTGCTGCCTTCCTCGCTTTTTCTTCTCGTCCCATCTCTTGCTTGACGCTGCTCGGGGCTCTCTCACTCTAGGAAGACAGGCGAGCATCGAGCATCTCCCTCCACCCATCATGTCCGACAAGGAAACTGCGCCTGTTCAGTGAGTCACTTATTATGACACTACGTATTTCCTTTCGATCATACTAATAGTCTCTCAGGGCGACGGAGCAGCATGATGAGAAGCAGGTCATCAAGGATGTCGCCCAGGACCCTGTGCTCGACACCAAGGCCGGCTCTGATATTGATGCCGAGAAGGGCGAGGGCTTCGAGACCCCCGACGGCGAGGAGCCCACGGAGAGCGAAAAGTTCAATCTCAGACATATCGGCGAGAGCTTGCCCCTGTCCGCCTGGCTGGTCGCCGTCGTCGAGCTGTGTGAACGCTTCACATACTACGGCATGAACGGCCTGTTCCAGAACTACATCCAGCGTCCATTCGACGGAAGCGAAGGTGTTGGTGCTCTTGGTATGTTTATTTCTATTTCATTGCTTATATATATATATATGTTTGAATATCGTGCTAACTGGAGTAGGCCTCGGCCATCAGGGTGCTACTGGATTGACCACCTTCTTCCAATTCTGGTGCTATGGTAGGTCCTCGTCAATTGCATAGCAACATTGAATAGAAAAATCTAACAATTAGCTAGTTACTCCTATCTTCGGTGCCATTGTTGCCGACCAGTACCTCGGAAAGTACAAGGCCATTCTGTACTTCTGCTTCGTCTACATGGCCGGTCTCATCATCCTCGTGGCTACCTCTGTCCACAACTCTCTCGCCCACGGAGCTGGTCTCGGTGGATTCATTGCCTCTATCATCATCATCGGTATCGGTACCGGTGGTATCAAGTCCAATGTCGCTCCCCTGATCGCTGACCAGTACAAGCGCCGTGTGCCCGCCGTCTCTACCTTGTCCACTGGCGAGCGTGTCATCATCGACCCGGCCATCACCATCCAGAGAATCTACATGATCTTCTACGCCTGTATCAACATCGGTTCTCTCTCCCTGCTGGCCACCCCTTACATGGAGCTGTACATCGGCTTCTGGTCCGCCTACTTGCTCTGTCTCTGCGTCTTCGTGGTTGGAACCGTCACCCTCATCCTCGGACGCAAGGCCTACGTCGTCCGCCCTCCAACCGGCTCCATCATCACCAATGCCTTCAGCGCTCTCTGGATCATGATTACCAGCCGCAACATGGAACGCCCCCAAGCCTTCCTACCAGGCCGAGCACGGCAACCGCCGCACCGTCGCCTGGGACGACCAGTTTGTCGACGAGCTCAAGCGTGCCCCTCGTTGCCTGCAAGGTCTTCTGCTTCTACCCAATCTACTGGGTCGTTTACAACCAGTTCTCCGGTAACTTCGTCTCCCAGGCCGCTCAGATGGAGGGGCACGGCATCCCCAACGATCTCATGCAGAACTTCGACCCCATTGCCATTCTCGTCTTCATCCCCATCCTCGACCGCATCGTCTACCCGATCATGCAGAAACTTCACATCCCATTCCCACCCATCTCCCGTATCTCCGTCGGTTTCATCGTTGCCTCTCTTGCCATGGCCTACGCTGCCATCGTCCAGCACCTCATCTACAGCGCAGGACCATGCTACGAGCACCCTCTCGCCTGTCCAGAGGGTAAGGTCAACGGTGTCGCTCTGGGCAACCACGTCCATATCGCCATCCAGACCCCCGCTTACATGCTCATCGGTATCTCCGAGATTTTTGCCTCCGTCTCCGGTCTCGAATACGCCTACACCAAGGCCCCAGTCTCCATGAAGTCCTTCGTTCAGTCCATGTACTTGCTCACCAACGCCTTTGGCTCCGCTATCGGAGAGGCCCTTGTCCCCGTCGCCTACGACCCTGCTATCAAGTGGATGTTCGTGTCTTTGGCCTGCGTTTCCTTCTCCACCGGTATCCTCTTCTTCATCATCTTCCGTGGTCTCAACGCGAAGGAAGAAGAGATGAACAGAATGGACAAGGACAAGGTTTAGATGAGATGAGACGAGACGCAAGATGAGATGTCTGTCATGTATAGGATCTTTCTAATTACCATTATTTTTTATATTTTTTCTTTCTCTCTCTCAGCTCTGAAATACGAACTAGTTTCATAAAACTAGATCCCTGCATGTTGGCTATGAAGACTTATCTTCACCTTCACCTTCACACACCCCGAAGGATGTACATATAGAAGCATTATAATGAATCAAACGCTTCTCCATGCCTCTTCCTCTCGTAACCATCCATCTTGCCCATTATCATCCGCTCTGCCCTCGTCGTCTCCCATCGCCATCTTCACCCAACTAGCTCGTGTGATCTTCGAAATGTAACCTTCACCGGGAGTTGCTTATGTAACCGCTTCCCTTCCTGCCAATAACAAACGCGCGCTTTCAACAATTCCAAGGAAGATCTTCGATCTCCAAACCTCATCGACTCTCACCTCACCACCACCCCAGCTGCTGGTTGGCTGGAGGGCTTACTTGTTACATGCAAAGCGCCGTCTTCTTTGCTTTTTTTACGATCTATCAGATGCGGTCTCTGCCAGGCTTATTTTATCCTGCTTGTTCACCCGAGGGCAGGAGGAGCGAGCGCAGGTTCTGTGTGACTCTCCCGTTCCCCGTCAGTCCAACGCGCGCGTGGTCCCTGGCTGGACTTTGTGTGCTGTGAGTACATGTCAGGCTGGTTGATGGGGTGGTTGTCAGCGTCAGTACGGCGGCGGTCTCATGGTAGACTGTCCGAGAGCTCGCCTGAATGGGGGAGGGCGGATGATGCTGGCAGTCCTCTCAGTGAAAGCTGTCAACAAGCTGCTAGTGCCAGTGACAGCCACGGTGACAGCAACGGTAGAACACTGCACTACAGAATCACCTTCTTCCTCCCACCCCTCTGCCGAGTCAGCTAGAGAAGGGATGAAATACTCGCAGGATGGGGGTTTGTTCCCATCCCATATTAATTATAGAACCTCGTGGCTTTGTGAGATGCGACCCTGGGAGGCGTCCAATCCAAGCATCAAATAACACTCCAAGCGAGGGTGGGGAAGGAGGCAGGTTTCCCTTTCTCTCTTTCTTTCTTTTTCTTTCTTTTTAACAGAGTAAGCTCGAGTTAACGGGCTTGGAATTGTCGAACTTGAGCTCTGTTCGCGTTCTGAGCTGTGGTTTAGCCCGCGTAGGCTCTGGGCAAAGCAGATCCCCCGCGGACTATCTTTGCCCTTGCTTATAACGATTAGCTACAAGAGCAGCAGATACGCTGGTTATTGGACGCGAGTGCATAAGCCACCTGTTCCTATTCCCTGGATTTCACCACCCACACTATACCAGCCTTTGCACCTACCAACCGAACCTGCCTCCACGAGACTCGTCTTAAATTTTTCTCTTCCCTCTCTGGGCCAGCCTTACAGGGCAATGCAGCCCGTTAGTCGTCTTCAATGAAGCGATTCAGGCTTGGGAAGACTGGCTATATTACTCATCTATGATATCATGGGGCGTGATCATTTGCACGACCTGCCAGACCGGCGTGGCTGGGGAAAGCAAAAAAAAGGTGTCCGGTCATTGTGCAACCCAGGCTGTGTGCATACATGCGTGTGTACGTACGGACTTACATACCATACATGCTTTGCCGCAAAAGCAAAGCCAACGCCGTGTATTGGAAATGGAAAACAATGCAATACACATAATTGAAAGACACAGGCGCAAAGATGAGCAAAGTGAAGCAAAGGAGAGCGAGAATCAGAGGAAGGTGAAGTAGAAGGAAAAAGCAAAATAGCTTCCTCGCAGGAAAGAATGCGCGAGCATCGTCACCCGTTAGTTAGTTGGACGCCGGAGATACGGATGTGCGGGTGCATGCAATCTGGTCTGCCTACTCCGTACACTTACACCTTCCGTCTCCCCCGTCTCCCAAGCCTAGTCTTGACACTGGTCGTGATCAATTTGCAGACGAGCTTTCGGTCGCCGTGACCTGCCATGGGTGCTCGTCATTGGTATGATGATCAGTATCATGGTACCTGGGCCGGAACCAGAAAGAAGAAAAAGAAAAGAAAACCGGATGAGAAAAACAAAACTGGAAAACGGGTGTGCCGCTGAATGTGCTATCCATCTATCTGCCTGTCCGTCTATTTATACCCCCCCGTGGCATACTTTGAACTGTTTGGATTCTTCCTTCCCTTTTTTTCCCACCACCTTTCTCTTATATATAGCATTGTACTTCCAACTAGCCTGGTTTCTACTTACGCCCAAATAACAATTTCAATATTTGCAGTTTATCTTGTTTCTTGAAGCTTGAAAGTATCATCACTTTTATTATATCCTTACACTACCGCCATCATGGGAAACATTGTGGGATACCGCTCCGTCGTCTACTTCGTTAACTGGGTATGCGCCGATACTTACCCTTCTGCCTGGATATAAGATATTGCAAGCCTGTTTGCTGACCAATATGGCTGGTTATCAGGGTATCTATGGACGAGCATTCAACCCAGCTGATCTCCCAATCGACAAGTTGACGCATGTTCTTTATGCGTTCGCCAACGTCCGTCCAGAGACTGGAGAAGTGTATGTCCTATCCATCCCATAACTACATCACACTCTTTGCCATATACACTATATACCATATTAACAACACGATAGCTACCTTTCCGACACCTATGCCGATATTGAGAAGCACTACCCCGGAGACTCATGGAGTGAACCAGGAACCAATGTCTACGGATGTGCCAAACAGCTGTTCCTCTTGAAGAAGAAGAACCGTAACCTCAAGGTTCTTCTTTCCATCGGTGGATGGACATATTCCGCCAACTTCCCTAAGGCTGCTAGCACCGACGCTGGAAGGAAGAAGTTTGCTGAGTCCGCTACCAAGCTTCTTCTTGACTTGGGATTCGATGGTTTGTTGTTCTCGGGAAACCCTTTGGATGCATTATGGCTGACTTTGCCTTTCCAGGTCTTGACGTTGACTGGGAGTATCCCAAGGGTAGGAGCTTCTTGAACTTTCAATTTGGATGGGCGTTGCTGACTTGCAATAGATGAGACTGAGGCCAATAACCTGGTCTTGCTCCTGAAGGCTTGCAGAGAGGTATTTATTCTCTCGAGCACACAATTACAACTACGGACCTATACAGCTAATAAATGCACCAATAGACTCTCAATTCCGCTCAGAAGAACCGCAAGTTTCTGCTCACTGCTGCTGTCCCATGTGGTATGTCTATCCATGTACAAAATGTACCAGATGTCACTTATTAATCTGCTTTCTAGGTCCCGCCAACTATGAGAAGCTCAAGCTCAAGGAAATGAGCGCTCAGCTCGACTTCTTCAACCTCATGGCCTACGACTTCGCTGGTGCCTGGGATAAGAACGCCGGACACCAGGCTAACTTGAGACCATCCAAGTCGAACCCCGCCAGTACCCCATTCTCAACCACTGCTGCAGTCGACTACTACACCAATAACGGCGGCGTGCCCAAGAGCCAGATTGTTCTTGGAATGCCCTTGTATGGACGTGCTTTCACCAACACCGATGGCCCCGGCAAGCCATTCCAGGGAGTTGGCCAGGGAAGCTGGGAAAACGGTATCTGGGACTACAAAGTTCTACCTAAGGACGGAGCCCAGGAGAAGAAAGATGATGAATGCGGTGCCTCTTACAGCTACGACCAGGCCAGTCGTACCATGATTTCCTACGACACCATCCCCATGGTCCAGGATAAGACCAAGTGGGTTATCGACAACGGTCTAGGAGGTGGAATGTGGTGGGAAGCCAGCGGTGACCGAGGTGGTAAGAATGCCACCCAGGCTGGCGGAAGCTTGATTGCTACCTTCGTCGAGGGTGTCACTGCCAATGGCCAGAAGGGTTTGGAGAAGTCCCAGAACTCCATCGAATACCCCGAGAGCCAATACGAGAACTTAAAGAAAGGCTTCCCCTGAGGTCTCTTAACACCGACTACAGACATTGCCTCTTTGCTCCCATTATCGTTCTTCTCCAATTTTATTCTCTGTTTATCATTTTTTGAACACTATGCCGAGACTTGGTGTCTTCTGTTGGGTTGTATTATATCACACTTGGCTATATGCTGCTGTACTGTGCTATATACTCCCTGGCAGTTCGACTTTTGCCTTGAGACCCCGTTCATAACCCTCTTGATGATCTACCATGATTTATTTTTTATGATGTACAGTTATTGTATATGTTTGATACTTGCGTGTATACAGTGCGCGTCACTCGTTTAGACATTCCAGGAATGAATGTTTTTTATACTTTTTTTGACGAAGTTCATTTCCTTTAATTGATGTTCATGAATCTAGCTCAGCTACTGAACTGTATAGTCAACCCTGGAAGGTAAATCCTTCCATGTCTTCATAGATGAGACAGTAACATTCAACATAGCTCATCTAATCACATCATTTCAAGGCTCACTAGTCAATCGGCCAAGTGTGGATTTACTTGGACTCATCGAAGACGTAGGTGAGGTGGCACTTGCCGCAGTATTGACGGTTGTGCATAGCAGCCATGAAGATACCGGCACCGCACTAGAAATATACAGTCAGCCGCTGGACACACCCATGCATATCTGAAGGGTACGTAGCATAAGACTAACCTCGGGGGTAGGGCACTCGCGTCTAAGACGCTCGATCTTTCCATCGCCGTCAACCTTGTAGTACTTGAGCACAGCGAGCTTGGTCTTCTTGCGCTTGTGCTTGATCTTCTTTGGGGTGGTGTAGGTCTTCTTCTTGCGCTTCTTACCACCACCACGGAGACGGAGCACGAGGTGAAGGGTGGACTCCTTCTGAATGTTATAATCAGAAAGAGTACGGCCGTCCTCAAGCTGTTTTCCTGCGAAGATCAGACGCTGCTGGTCTGGGGGAATTCCCTCGTCTATTCGCACAACATCAGCACATTGCTCGCATCGCATTTTCCCAGCCCTACGCCGGTATTCCTGTAGGGTATATCTTACCCTGGATCTTGGTCTTGACATTGTCAATAGTGTCGGAAGACTCCACCTCAAGGGTGATAGTCTTACCCGTGAGGGTCTTGACGAAAATTTGCATTTTGACGAAAGGCCTGGTTGTCGCGAAAAGTGTTCCAATTAGTCTATGGTTCAATGTGCGGGCGGTCTTGCGTATTTGTCGTGGATACAAGGATAGAGCATAGGGGAATGATAGCGACTCTTAACGTACCTAGACAAATTGTCTTCCTCAACCTTTCAATATGCAAATTGGTGGTGGACGAGAGGGAGAGGAAAAAGAAGCTCTGCTTTTTCCCACCAAAAATCTTTAAAAAGCCGAAAATCAGTTTTCGCGAGTGTGGATCATGTGACTAGTTTGAATCATGTGACGTAATTACCTAAGATCGAGATTAGGTTACGACGCTAGGCCAGATCGGGCGTTGCCTGGCCGACGCGCTTATTTACGACCTCGAACATCTTCAGCTTGTATCAAAAGGAGCTCTTGGGCCCTTCAGGATGTCATCGTCTATTTCTCTGGGTAGACTATGCACATATTACTTTTTTAAAGCATCCAAGCCATCTCACGCCCTTTCTGTCTGTTGTTTATCTGCTATTTATCTCTTGTCTTTCATTGCACAACTAAAGAGTGGTTAGCCGCCAGCTCTAGCTAGCTCTGTGCAAGTCGCTTTTATCTGAAGCTCACAAACACCATTACAACCACTCAACACTTTCGGCGCTTTTCGTTTCATTGTTGAATACAAGCCAGAGACGCCCTCAGAGGCAATGACCCTCACTTGATATTTCATTCTGTCTCGGTAACTGTCATTTTACCCCTGCAAAGATTGAGCTATTTGACTTGGTTTATCAGGAGACACCGGTGAACGCAATGTTACAAAATTTTTCATTCCTGCCAGAGCCAGAGGGCTCGAAGGACATAGCTTCTCTGGCTTCCAGAAGACATTTCGCTCCGAGACCAATTGCGCCAGCGCCAGCTGGTGGACGGGGCTGTCACCGAAGAGGCCTGAGTCTTGACCAGGGCGTGGCACGACACCAGCAAAATGCATCGATGTATGGACATGAGATGCACGATTGGTCTCGATGGTTGGATATAGGAGATTATAATAACCATCTTAACTCGGGAGTTCAGCGCCCAATGACACCACTTCAGCCAATTGAGAATGGTAAGTTGCTCACATCATGTTTGCAATATGCACCACTAACATTATCATGATTTAGTGGACTCTTCATTATTAACACCAGCAACAACCCCATGTTGGAAGCCGTCGACCGCCTTTCCACGAAACTGCAGAACTGCTCACTCATCTCCCACGAAAAGAGTTCCTCCGCCCCTACTCCCTCGAAATGGAGAATCAATGCAAAGAGCAAAGTCGTTTCAAGGCTCTGAAAATGGCTACACCCCGAAACAGGATTCTAAGGGCTTTGAAGGCCCCCCGGAGTTCCGTCTACCTGAACCTTCCGAATCAAAAATACCCACAACAGACGACGATATCTTTTCGGACCTGACTTTTGACTCCTTGGATAACTCTGATCCTTTCAGTTTGGGAGGTTTACCATCACCAACTATGACGTCTTTCTCATCACAGCCCGAGCACCCAAAGGAGACTGCAGTAGAGCTCCCTGACCAGAAAGCAAAGAAAGTTCCGATTGCTCCGGCCTCGACTGCCGCCTTGCCAACAAGGTCAAGACCGGCTACCTCAAGTGGAACTACTTCTCCCATCAAGGCAGCATTGGCTCCTCGTGTGGTTACGATTGCTGATCTTAAGCTTGACGCCAGCATCGACGCCTCCTTAGAGGAAACTGGAATTACGCTTGAGGATATATGTGGGTATATTGAAGGTCCCGATCCCATAGACAATAAGTGGATATGTACCTTCGACGGATGCATGAAGAGATTCGGACGGAAAGAAAACATAAAATCCCATGTTCAAACACATCTTGGTGACAGACAGTTCAAATGCAATCATTGCAACAAGAGTTTCGTTCGAGGCCATGATCTGAAAAGACATGCAAAGATCCACACCGGCGTCAAACCATACCCTTGTGATTGTGGGAATAGCTTTGCACGACATGATGCTTTAACTAGGCATAAGCAACGTGGAATGTGCAGCGGTGCATTTGTTGGTGCTGTGAGGCGAGCAGAGCGACGTGGTAGACCAAGGAAAGAGAGACCTAAACATGGAGAGAGGCGCGAGAAAGCAGCCCGGGCAAGGCAACGAGAGAAAAAGAAGGCATCTAGCCCATCAGTCCAGGAACATTCATCGAGTTCATCGGCACCGTCGCCAGAAAGCGAAAATTTGGAGGCTCCATCGACTAGAGAACATAGTCCCGTCAAGGATATGTTATTTCTGGACATGGAGTCGATTTCCTTGCCTCCTGACGTTTTCACATTTACGCCCCCTGCCTCCCCTAGCTATAGCACTGGAAATATCGGCTCACCTGCCCGCAGCTATTATTCTACTTCCCAGGAACCAGATGAAACGCCGTTGTGTTTGTCTCCCTCAAAAAGATATCTGGCCGACATTCCAGAGGAGATCATTGAGCCCCCTTCTTTCGAATGTGGATCGCCCACACCCGTCAAGCGCGAGACGAAAAGAGACTTAATAGGATCACCATGCCGAACTATCTGGCCAACCAACCCAGAGCCTACTCTTACTGAGGACTCAAATGGTACTGAATTTGATGATGTTTTCTCAAGCCATGCAAGTACATCGGCCTTCGACGCCGACCAACTCCCTCCTCTGGGACCTCAGTCAACAACAGGAATATCAGAATCTGGCTCGTCGCAGTATGACGATGAAATATTCCTGAATCACTTGAGCAGCGAAGCTCCGAACCTGGACAGTGACTATTTCCCTCTATCTTTGTCACCAAGCACAGACGCCTTTTTTGATTCATTCACGACGGAGCTGAAATAACACCAAACATCCAGATCTCTCCGCGTTCAACTCTAGTTCTTGTCCCTAATTTTGGCGGTTTATTTTTCCATCAGTTTGATATTCGAAGGGACGACGGCGAAATGGTGTATGTGTGGCACAAGTGATTTTCTTGACTGAGGTTTATAGATATCCTTTTCTTCTTTCTTTGCGTTTGAGTGACGATTTCCATGTCAGATTTTAGCTGGTCTCAATTTCGAATGACGTTCTGGGATGTGTTAATGTGTTAAGTTGTATGATAATAGTCGAGCCATTAGCCTTTCTTTTGTTTACTGTTCGAATCACATCCAGGTTTTCCGTGTTCCTCTTGCCTGTGAATCTTTATCAGGAATTTTGGGTATCTCTGATATCATAAAGATGCAAGAGCTTGTATACAGGACATATATTTGCATATGCATGTAATCTATGCAAATGCGCTTAAAATCAAATGGTATCTGTACAAAAAAGGAATGGGCGGATATACTGGAGGCAAGCGACCATGGATACAGGAGTAAAGGATTGGTGTGGAGGGGGGTGTTAGGAAGAAAGGGGGTTTCTATCGGCAATGTTTGCTTTATTCTCTTTCATGGCAGCTAGCTCCTGTTTTCTCTCTTTCCAGAGTCTCAGAACTTCAAAGCAAACTTCGACTGCAATCAAGAGAATAATTGTCCATTCCAACCGGAGTCCATGAGTTTCACTCAAGCGTTCACGCAAGACACTTGCAATCTCTTGTGCGTAGTCCATTTTTTCGTTTAACACCTTGATGCGGATTCCAACATCCAGAGCTTTTCCAACTTGGTCATAGTTCCCTTCTAACCCAAGCTCGTGTCGGCTATCCCAAAAGATGTCTGGAAGCGAGTCTGTTAATTCTGAATACAGATTCAATTGTGCCCTAAGGCTAAGTAGCTGGCCAGTTTTCCGCAGTATAAAACTGCGTGTGTAAGGTAATCGAGATCCCTTGGAGAGTTGCGTGGGTATATTTCGTGTAGAATCAAAGTAGTTCAGTAGTAAACTTTCTAATACGGCAAGTTTAGTGCTTCGGGCAAGGCCTGAGGAGAAGGCAATCTTTGTCAGTACTGTGTCGACCGTCGTTCGATTTGGGTGTCGAATATCTTGTGTTTTCTGCTCTTCAGGGACAGGATTAGTCCCGAGAATGATAATGTCGCCTTTCATAAAACTATTATCCCGCTGAGGATCTTCTATGTAATCAAGATCTTCCGTCTCCATCCGTTCGATGTGCGCATTCTCAGCTGCTGGTAGTAGCACAGTGGTTGCTAGATATGATGCAAATGTCTCGGGGAGCGACCATGAAACAACTGTTCCAGACGGAAAGACAAATACATCTCCAACCTCATCTGAAGATAGATCTGATGATGCTAAACTAGTGGTTCGTCTGATAGAATCGAGCGGAACTTGAATATGGACCACCTGGGGGTAAAGCCCGGTTTCGAGGGGGTCAGGCTCATATCCTTTGGCTAGAAGTATCTCCATAACTTTTGCAATATCAAACCGTTCGGCAACGGCATATGCGGTGACGACCTTCATCCGAGTAGATCAGAGGAATTAGCTACGGGGCAATATACTTGAATGTGACCAATGTAAGTGCTAACCTTTGGTTCTGGTGAGGGTATATCCGGAGATACGGGCAGTCGCCTGACATCTTTAGATATCTGTGCCTCCACTGCTGCACGTCGTAGGGATGTTTTCCCAGCAGGGGAACGCGATGTTCGCTTTCCTCGAGACGGCTCTAATTTTCCTTGTTGGATTGCGGGTTTCCCGACATCAGGAGTTGTTGTCTCTTGTTCAAGCTTCCCATTTGACGAGTGGAAGGCATTGCGTCCCAGGGAATTTTTAAAAGCATTTCTTAAAGGTGCTGTATATATATTTCGGCGAACGGAAGCCCTGAGTAAGGCACATTCTCTGGGTGCAAATAAAATTCGACGAAGGAGCATAACTGCCGGGAGAGTAATCCTAAGCAAGGGTAATTAGCCCATTAATTGCGGCATGGGATGCATGCCAACCTCCGCGCTTCACTGTTCCTGTAACGAGTGTCGGTATACACGGCCTGGCATGGGTGTTGATATCCGTCTTTATTTTGCAAGGTCCCGTCTGTAGCTCAAAATCGGTGACGGCCCGAAAAACGCGCCGGGATGTCGGCGTTACTAATAATCCGGCGGTTAAGCTTCCGCTGCCGCTTCGGGAGCTCCCAGGTTGCTCTTCAACCGTTTGCTTTACACTCAGAAACCGCGGATTTTAGCGATTCTCTTGTTTTTATATGCGATGTCAGCTTCTGGTCGCACTGGCGCACTTGTTAGATAAGATAGAAACCCGGCGGGATGGAGGCCGCGGGCCCCAGTGAAGCAACGAGCGGCAAACAGAAGATCCAGCCGGGCACGACGACCACTGATGCAGGAGACAGAGACACCCCGAAGGATGAAGTCGTAAGCGAAGAGGGCGAAGAAGAAGAGGAGGAGGAAGATGACAATGAGGAGGATGATGAGGATGACGTTGAAGACGAGGAGCCGCGCCTCAAATACGCTCCGATTACACCAGTCCTCGGCCCACTGTACCGCAATAAAGATGCTACGAGCACGTTCATGACTGCGGGCAATAAGATGGTATGCTCTATGCTGATATCATGGTCTAGACTTGGAGAACTGGTTTTAACTAAGAGTGTTGTAGATTGTTGGAACCCATAATGGGAACATTGTATGCAAGCCTATACTTCAACCGACTCCTAGCTCCGTCTAACAAATTGTAGCATATTTACTCTGTCCCCTTCTTCCAACGCCTCCGAGTATACCACGCTCATTCTGCGAGCATCGACTCCATCTCAATCTCCCCATTTCCCCCGCCTGCGCCTACAAAGGTGGACTTTGCCCCTATAATTCAAAGTGGTGGATCAGGCGCGTCCGTATCCGAGAGCCCGAATGGATCTAAACCACAGCCAGTCACAATACCACCAACCCCATCAAACTCGATATATATTGCGACATCTTCTATGGATGGAAATGTTTGCGTGGCGTCCCTAGTCGATCCCAAAGATGTGACGCTTCGGAATTTTGGGAGGCCGGTTAGTGCAGTTGCGTTGTCGCCTGAGTATAAAAGTGACAGAACTTACGTCTCGGGAGGTAAATCAGGAAACCTGGTCCTTACTGTTGGAGGCCGTGTTGGTGCAAGCTCAAACGCTACACTAGGGGGCGCGAGTCCCACCGGCTGGTTTGGATCGCTGGGCCTTGGAGGGAATAATGGGAAAGACAGGGTTTTGCACAATGGTGAAGGGGCCATAAGCTGCATTAAGTGGTCAAGGTCTGGAAAATATGTTGCTTGGGTGAACGAAGAGGGCATAAAAATCATGCGCTCACATTTACACCTTGAACAAACGGAGGCCGAACATGCATGGGAGCGGTTTGGTCATACAGATAGACCTCGATCCCAAATGTGGGATGAAATGGCTGGAGTTTGGAAGCCGCGGGTCGTATGGATTGATGAGGATTCATTAGAGCGCGAAAACGCATCTGTTGTCCAAGTGGATGATGCCTCAACTCGATCACAGCAATTAGGAAATCATGGCCCTGAGAAACTTCTTGTTGGCTGGGGAGGCACAATATGGATCATCAAGGTGTCTCGTGGTGATCAATTGGCGGGACTTGGGAAAAGGAGAATAGCTTCGGCTGAAATCACGACTAAGTTGGTTAATCTCTTTTCTCGGTTAATTTCGCTACTTTCTAACATTATTACAGACTACGGACGGATTGTATCATATCTGGTGTTTCACTATATACCCAAAATTTATTACTTGTTTTGTCTTATATCATCCCCGACGATGACGATCCTGGGACCCCTTCGAAGCAGGCTGGCCCTGCTCGCGGAATTCGACGAAGGCAGAATGGTCTCCAACCAGAGCTGCGACTAATTGATATTGATACCGAGGAAGAGCTGAGCGGGGACATCCTCTCTGTCCGAAATTATGAAAATCTTTCTGCATCCGATTACCACCTTGATACCCTTCCGCTGAGTCGCATTGCTTCAACTACTCACCGAGGAGCCCTAGAATCAATAACCGCCGGTCTTATCGATGCTACGCTCTATCCCAAACGTTTATTTAGCTCAGGGACCAGCTCTCGCAGTATGGGTAGCAGTGCTGACAAGGGGTCTGGTTTCCAGGTAACTGGTACGGTTGATTCTTCAGGCCTACTTCATGGCGGAAAATACAACAAAGAGATTGAAATCGCCGCAACAGCAGGGGTTAGGGTCTTCGTCCATAGCCCCTACGATTGCATCCTTGCTGTTAAAAGGGGGTTTGAGGATCGGCTAGCTTGGCTTGATTCTCGCGAGCGGTATGAGGAAGCCTGGGAACTGCTTGAACAAAATCCAGATGCTTTCAATGTAGCTTCTGGTGAAGGCGAAGAAAGTCCGCCAGGGACGCCAACTCCAAGTGCTCCAGGTCAGCCGGGGTTATCGTTACTCGATAACTCTTCTATTCAGACAACTAGCCATTCTGGTAACACTAAGCTTGAACAAGAAAAGCGTCGCATCGGCGAGTTGTGGCTGAAGCAGCTAGTTGGCCACGGGGAGTGGGAGAAGGCTGGGAACATCTGTACCAGAGTCCTTCGTACTACTGCGGCGTGGGATCACTGGATCTGTGTTTTCGCGCGAAACGGGAAATTTGATGAGATTACACCCCATGTGCCTATCGACATTGAGCCTCCATTACCATCATTCGTATATGAGGTTATCCTTGGCCATTATGTTTCCCGCGACCGAGTCAGATTCAACGAGCTTATAGAACTTTGGCCCCCTAACCTGTTTGAGACTGATAGCGTTACTGCTGCTATACAAGACCAACTTCTCTTGACAGATGAAGGGACTGAAGATTGGAGGAATCTCTTGAATTGCCTTGCTAAGCTATTTCTGGTTGGTGGACACTATCGCGAAGCTTTGCGGTGCTACATAAAACTTCAAGATGGGGACGCTGTTATGAGTCTGATTCGAGAGTATCATCTACTTGATTCTGTTTCTGAGGATGTTCCTGGTTTTATTTTACTCCGGGTACCAAAGAATAGAATAAAGACTGCTCCTACCACAGAACTAGAAGAGGCTACCTCAGAACCTATCAAGCTACTTGTGCGTGAGGCAGCAAATGGTATAGTCCGTCCCGAAACAGTAGTCACGCAACTACAAGAGGCAGATCTGGGACTTTTCCTTTATTTCTACCTCCGGGCACTTTGGAGAGGAGATTTTGTGTCAAAAGAAGGAGGCAGGCCTGCTATCAGGGCTCGCGGACACCACAGAACCGAAGCAGAGGCTGGGAAACTAGTCGCGGATGAAGGAAGAATAATGATCGACGGATTTGCGGATACGGTCATCGAGCTGTTTGCGAACTATGACCGTCCCTTACTCATGGAATTCTTGCAGTCGAGCACATCATACTCCTATGACACAGCATGTTCTATCTGTGAACGTCGAAACTTCACGCCAGAACTTATTTACCTCCTGTCTAAAACTGGACAAACGAAGCGTGCACTTCAGCTAATCCTCTCGAGCTTGAACGACATATCTCATGCTATCTCCTTTGCCAAATCTCAGGATGATCCAGATCTTTGGGACGATCTGTTATCGTACTCGATGGATAAGCCAGAATATATCCGCGCACTTCTCACAGAAGCAAGCACGGCCATCGATCCTATAAAGCTTGTGAAGAGAATCCCCAGCGGACTGGAGATTGAGGGCTTGAGAGAGGGCCTTACAAGAATGATTCGTGACCATGATATTCAAGCCAGTATAAGCCTGGGGGTTGCGAAAGTTCTGGCTGGTGAAGTTGCTATTCGAATGGACGCCTTGCGGAAAGGTCAACGACAGGGAATGAAATTTGATGTTTGCCACGACGAGGATAGCGCAGGTGAAGATGTTGTTGATGGCCAAGATAAAGATGCACACCCGGATACAAATGGTGAGACCATCGATGAGAAACAGAAAAGAACATCGAAGGACGTTACTCCAGGACGTTGTGCGGGTTGTAAGAAGCCATTTGTTGAGCAAGGTGAGCTTATCCTTCCCCCTGAGACATGCCAATTGCATCCGTTTTGTTATTGTAACGGGAATTAATGGTTTATTAGAAACGGAAACTATCGTCGTCTTTGCATGTGGTCATATATACCACGTCTCCCACCTTCATGGCCCGTCAACGCCCGAAGAGCAGGACACTCCACAAGGACAGGATCCAGCTTCACCGAGGCTTCACTATCAGCCTTCCTCTATTCAATCTTCAGCCCTTTCTCGCACTGTTGGTCTCAAGGTCACCAATGCTAGGCTTTTACGAGATAAAATTGGTGACGGATGCCGGATATGCGCCGATTCTTTGAAGGACACTGCGCAGCAGTAAGGTACGGTGAAAATATGAATATTCCACCTGAAGAGAAAGAGAGAGAGAGAGAGAGACATGCGAAACCCCAGATATGTCCATCGTAACCATCACCAACCCTGGGCTACTCCACTCTCGTGATTATACCCCTTTTTTTCCAATACCCAGCCAATGAGTTTGTTTTTGTTATGTTTATGGGAAGAGTTTGGACAACTATGCATTTACGTATATTAATCAGAGCGATCTGGTCCGGCTACATATTTATCGCTGTGTTTGTTTAGATCGTGATTTTGTTTCATTTTGATTTCTGTGGGAGGTAAGCTGCCAGCGTTTGTCGACGCGTTTTGTGTGTGTTTACTTGATACCTCCGCTACTAGTGCGGCCCAGCCGAGGGTTTGTTTACCATTCCATTAGCTCATACTATTAATACCAACGAAGGCTACATGCCATCTATACCCGTATCCATCGCTTTAAGGAGCAACTTCTCAGTAGGAAAAGCAGAAGAAGATGGAAGAGAAATAGTCCTTTGAATTATTGTCAAATGAGCGAATGGCTAGACCAGACTCTCCTAATTTTATGCTAACTAAAGATCCTTTTGATAAACCGGTAATGGAAGGCCGCCCTTGATCCGATCCGATGCGCCGTGAAAATTGCCTGTGCAAGCCTAACATAAAACCATATTCCCTTCGTCAAATCACCCCCCCAAGGATCATAATAATCACAAATGAGAAAAGTCAGAGAAATTTGAATACAGTCAGATAGTGATGTAAGGCCACTCAAGGTGGTACATGTTTTGGGAACAGTGCATCAGTTGAAGATAGACTTGTGTGTGTACTCAGTTGAAAAAGGGAAACCAGTTGAGTGAGAACACAGTGGGATGCTTGTCCGTATCATCTGAGCTGAGTTACAAGGCCGCAAAGATGGCAGCACCGATAATACCGGCCAGAACTGCGTTGAAGCCAACATGGCGAGAAGCCATAGCAGAAGGAGTTGGAGTAACCACAGTCTCAGAAGGAGAGGCGCGGGTAGGACGCGGGGTCTCGTGGGAAACGACTGAAGTCTTTGTCTCACTAACTGGAGTGGACATCGATGGTGGAGGGACTTCAGTGGAAGCTCCAGTGGTAGTAAGCTCAACAGAAGAAGTGATAGGAGCTTCAGGACGCCCAGTTGGAACGGCAGAAGTCACGCCAGGAACGGAGACGCTGACAATGGTGGTGGCAGGAGCCGAAGGGGCAGGAGTTGAAGTGGCAGGGCCCGAAGGAGCAGGGCCAGGAGCCGAGTTGCAGTCAGTCACAGTCACAGTGACAGCCACTTCGCCTATGATACCCGTCAGCATGGCCATTTTGGACGCGTTTCTTTGCTTTTTTCTTCTTCTTTTTTCTTTTGAAGGCATGGGAGTCAACGTATACTTACCATTACGTCCAAAGATGTTGCCGTAGTCGACATTGGCAGGCCCATGAGCATGAGCTATACATGACAAGTTAGGAGCTGGGTCTTTAACAAGTGACGAAAAAAAGACGCGGATACAAGGGTAGAATGATGGTGACTCTGCAGTGTCACGATATCACGTCTCCCATAAGGCAGATGCCATCAAGGAAGAAGCAATACGTGTCAAGCAAGGCAAGGAGGGTGTGTGTGAAGGAGAAGATGAAGGAGATACCACATACCTGCAGCTGCAATGGCAGCGTCAAAGGCCAGGACGGCGAGGATAAGCTTGGTAGAGACAATCATGTTGATTGCAGACGGAGAGTCGATGAAGACTTGGAGAGATGGAAAGAGATGAGATGATATTGGATTGAGGGAGGAACACGAGACGTCGTAGCGAGCTGGACGAACTTGTTGTGATGATGGTGGTGAAGAAGAAGAGGAAGAAGAAGGAAAAGAAAACGAGGGAGGAGAAGAGGGGGGCGAGGAGGGGCCTTTTATAGTGCGGCCGTGGGCGGGTTACCGAGCAACCGCACAAGCGAGGTTCGCACGAGGGGCTCTGTC